ACGCCCAAGGTACATCATGATCATCAAAGCACTTGATTAGACGGTCAAGGGTGCGGCGAGTCACAACCCCGGCGATCAGCTGTTTCCAGCCTAATCTGGCCATTCTCTCCCTAATTTTCAGTGTGTTTTCTATTTTGTTCGAAGTATTATAAGTTGTTTTATTGCCTTTATGAAGTTAGAATGTGGATATTCAACTGTCTGCTGAACTGTTTATTGTACACAAAAATCAGAAGAATCTCAACCATAATTCACCTTGTGAAGACAAGGAACTACTAATCACGAGAAAAGCGGCCACAAAAGTGTAAATTAGGGGGAAAATGGCTAGAATAGGCTGAAACAGCTTTGCCGTGCTTGTGACACGCCGCAGCCGCGTCGCGGCCCTTGCCGCCCTAATCAAGTGCCCGGATGACGACTGTAATCACCATAACTAGGAGTAGTGCCCACCCTTTGCGCAGCTACTCGATTCCACTCTTGTAGAACTACGGAAACTGCTATGTAAAGAAAAGCTGGACCTTATTTTTCAAGTAGACGTTGATTTTCGGCATTGTTGCCAGCTAAAGGATGCAATAGGGATCGAAGGAGATGGTCCTTAGAGACTGCTGACATTGTTGAATATGCTGGGTACGGTCACGTTCCCTGATCGAGATCCGTAATTTTTTAGGGTAACCTCATCGCCACATGCGTTCTTCACATTGCCGTGGAGTTGAAGGAAATTGAGTGTTTCTGAATGAAATCAGCTATGACGTCATCCATTTTCTAAAGTTGATTAGAGTAGACGTCTATTGTGCCAGTATCCAGCGACAGTACCACCACTAACAGTGAAATCTTCATTCCATGCATATCTGCTTTCGGCTAGGCAGGCTACTTTTCTCCTGTAAGGGACATGTGCATGATGTACGCAAGGAACCCAGCTCTCGTAACAACCACAATGTCTCACGAAAATTCCTTCCAATGTGTACCAGGAAGAGAAAACGCAGTAACGACCACTCGGTGCGCTCTGTCAGGCTAGTGCACCTCATGTGGCATTCTTCATAGGGATTTTTCCCGGTAAGGGGTTGCGTAGAAGCACGATATTTGTCGCTTATCTGCAGCCTAGAGATGTTGGTTACCACATATGAGACTCGTGAGCACAAACCCAGGAAGGTCAAAGCAATTTTCTTGCCCGAGGAATCGTCTTTAGCGGTAATCGATGGTCCTGAACTGTCTACAAAGATCAACGTTCAGCAACCGTCTTGCTTAATTGTTTTTGAAAGTCGAAATGTTATAGCACCGTGGGATACTACCATTCATATGCCCATAGAAGGTTTTTGTTAGAGTTATATTCATGCTAAAATATATAGGGACGCGAGAAAAACGCAACCTGAAACATGCAAAAGCTCGCAGCCTGCGTGAAATTGAAGCACTGACCCCGCCATCCCTGTCCGAACGCAAATCCTTCGCGCTATCCACTGGGCCATCCGATCACTTCTGGCAAATGCCGCTCCGGACGTGAAGTAATCATTCTAAGAAAACGTTTCCTCTCAGCACCCATTCTTATCTGATAAATTCGAAGATGTCTTTTCCTGCACAGCTAGCAGGCAATGATGTGGGGTGCGTGTACTGAGATACCCGGTAGGCGTGGCCAAAATATGGCGAGGGCTTGACGTGGACGGATATAATTAGGCTTCAGCGCTTCTTCCTGAGCTTGGAGACGATAATTTCCTTCTTATTGAACAGCTGTGTGTTTCTACTGCTTGAACTAAGAAGTTCCGAGAGGAAGAATTAACTTAGGTTGGAATTTATGCTTTTTGCAAAGGTATACATTAGGCAGAGGCGAAAAAGTGGTTGTCAGGTCTTACGTATGATCATGAAATCAACATTAAGCACACCTTGAAGACAATAGGAACGTTTACCTTGTAAACGGTGCTCCCGTCTAATATCTATTGCGGCACAAATTTGGGAAACACCGGTCCATTTCGAAGCCTTGCCCCTATGGCCACGCCCAGCCGGGTATCTACGTCACGTAGCCAATGATGTGTCGTGAGTATTTCTAGCAATAATGTCAAGCGCAACTGCGATATAGACTATGACAGGCTGTGCATACCAGAGAACTGCGTCCCTGTCCGCATGGACTAGGTGGAGATTGCTCTAAAAGTGGCGCCAGCTACCAAGAGAGTGTGATATGTAATGCAGCTTACATCGGACAGACTGCAAGAGCGCTAGCCACACTTATCAAAGAACATTTCACTAGTAAAAGTCGCGGTAATACGCGTACACCGCTTGGCAGGCATTTGGTCGAAGACAATAGCGGACCTCGCTTTGATGTGAAGTGCATAATTCTGGCACACAAAACTGAAATTTCGGCTAGGAAAGGCTAGAGGTGTTCCGCATTTCCGCGAGAAATTCTAGGATGATTAACCGACATGAGTGTCTGTCCATTACAAATGACCTCTTGTCATTTATGTCACATTGCGAACCATTGATGTGAACACTGAGTTGTGCAGTTCCCAGCTATACTTGCTGTATATGAACGGCACAACATCTCTCACTTCCAAACAATCTCTATGCCGCGATATATTGAAACACATTTTACAATAATACTGAGGCTTTATGAAGAGAGAATTTGGACGCTACTGCTCCGTATATATGCCATTTTAACTTTTCAAACCAAATCGGACACTTTTCAAACCAAGTCGAATACTTTTCAAATTAAAACGGACACTTTTCAAATCAGATCGGACACATCCCCTACAGTGGGAAGTTGATAAGTAGACCGCTCTAGCCACTGCTGCAAGCTCCACCTCAGCATCTCCGCCCATTTCTCAGCGCGGCATGGCTTTCCAAAATGTTTTATGAATTCTGCTTCTTCGAATTTTTTCCATTTTTGCTATTTGACACACACACGCTTCATCTGAATAGGTTTGGTACCGACACATATCTGACTCCGACCACTTTTCAATGAAGTTACGCAGTTTTGAATTTGTATGACTTTTTCCGACGTCATTCTTTTCACATTCGGTCTACACAAAACGAATATACTCATATCCATGCATTTATACACTACTACACTGAGCCCCGTCCTCTAACCACGCCCACTGTTGTGTTCTTCGCGGAATTTTGGTTTTTCTTCCGAAATCTCACTTTTAAAGTCTGTAACAAGTGGCTCCGCCCACTGATATAGGGCCCCGCCCACCTCTGAAAAGTGACGCAACTCGGCACGCTCGAGTCCGTACTGGTAGGTGGGAGACGCGCAACAGAATCGCTTGGGGCAGTGCCCGCGGCAAGCGGCGCGTTGCGCGGAGAATGACGCAGCAGCTCACGAACGTGCATTTGCCAGCCGATAGCTTTGCGATTGGGGCAAATGATTCACTTCAGGTACATCCGCAACGTTTGCCACATTTATCAATAATTGAAGATCTAATGATGTTTCCCTTGATAGTGACACACAATTGTTTGGGATAGACGCAACTTCAGGGAATAGACAAATACAAAAGAAATCAAAGAAGGCAGTTATTCGCCCTATGTTTGTATGATTCACATATTCGCGCAGTCGTTAGCGTCAACTTTGAATAGATGACTGGTCACGTTTCCCTGTGCGCTTCTGTAAAAGATGACACAGCAGAGAAATGTTGAAGACCTAATGAAGTTCATGCTCCAATGAACCTTTTCATTCTTTATGAAAAAAACAAAGGAAAAACTAAAAACCAACCCTAACCGAACACAAGACTCGATCTGCTATCAATACGGTGATATTAATCTTTACCGTCCCTTCAATATCCTTATTCAAAGGGCCAGACGCGTGGTTCGCCTTCTCGCCGCGAAGATGTCGCAGGCCACGCCCAGCAGCTCCACCGGACGATTCTGCTGCTACACACCCCTGGTAGGTTATGGCCTCTCCCGTCATTCGGAACGAAGCCCCCTTTTTTGCCGATCTGTGTGACGAGAGAGGGCATAACCTGCCGGTACAGATTCCAGCGTGCCGATTTGCATCATTTTTAAAAAGTGGGTGGAGCTTCTACAAAGCGGGCGGAGCTTATTAGTATGCGGGGCCGCTTGTTGCAGCCTAAAAAAGTGAAAGTTCGGAACAAAAATAAATTCAGCGAAGAACTCAAAAGTGGGCGTGGTCAGAGGGGCGGGTAGTGTACTAGTGTGTAAATGCATGTCTATGAGTATCTTCGTTTTGTAAAGATTGAATGTGGAAAGAAAGATGTCGAAAAAAGTTATGAATATTCGAAACTTGCGTAGCTTCATTGAAAAATGGGCGGAGTCATATATGTGTCGGTACCTAACCTGTTCAGTTGAAGCGTGCGTGTCAAAGAGCAAAAGTGAAAAAAATTCGAAGAAGCGGAATTCATAAAACATTTTGGAAAAGCATGCCGCGCTGAGAAATGGGTGGGATATCGGGGCGAGGCTTGCAGCAGGACTTAGTGTGGTCTATTTATCAACTGCCCATTGTGAGGGGTGTCCAACTTAATCTGAAAAATGTCCGTTTTGATTTGAAAAGTGTCCGATTTGGTCTGAAAAATGTCCGTTCTGGTGGCAAGTGTCCAATTCGAAGTGGAAATTGTATAGATAACCTCTCCTATCCGATAACGATAATCGTTAGAGCTTTTTCTGGAGAACAATGTGGCCTCATTAAGGAAGTGTTGCTTTGATGAAATTTCAGTATTGCCGCGGACTCTGTGCCTAGCAATTATAATACCTTCAATGTGTACAAGAATTATAGAGGTGAAAGAACTGTAGAAATAGATGTACTTCGTCACCCTAGTTCTCCTGATTCTGCTTCATTTCGTAGCCTCTTCTGAATTCGATCAAAGTTATTATACATAAAGTTTCTACTGGTAGAGAAAAAGCCTGTCTCCCTCCGGAATATTGTAAAGTCTTAGACGTTTCCAGCGAAAATGTGAAATAAATTCACTTCCATGGATGCCTATTTAGGGATTCTTGAACCCAACGCCATAGTTGGAATCAAGTTCCGTGGAGACAAATTGCTCGATCTTCAAAAAAGAAACGACCAGGTGATGCAACAACTTGACGCGAGGCTCATCGAGGAGATTAAGGTTAGAAAATTCCTACTGTGACACCACACATCTCGCAATTTACTGTCTTTTGAGTACCATGGTGCTGATTCTCTGGAGGCAAGTCATATCCGGAATCTAATTGCTCAACGGTCTGGTGACCTCAGAAAAGCATACAGAGGAGTGATAGTTGAGCTTGCTGATCTGCATGATCGGTCTGAGCGGATGGCTTCCAAAAAAGCTGTTCAGGTTTGTGGAGATATTTATCACCACGTTTTCGAAAACATGTTTCCAGTTTATAGCACGTCGTTGATCTTGCCAATTCGCGCAATCTTTTTGCGCAGATTTTTTCGTTGGAGACGGCGAAGGTTCACCTCTGTGATAGGTGAGATTTTTATTATTGAGTGGATATTATTGAGTGGATAGTTGGGAACATCTTCGGGCAAGACATTCCTATCAGGTTGGTAGGAAATTCTGTTACTGTGGTGGATTTCTTCTTTATTTCTCAATAAAGCATACAACGAAATTATTTGACGTTATAACAATCGTTCTTAACCAGCACAGTGCTTCACTTGGCAGGCAGCAGGATACAGCATAACTGAGAGGAGGATCGTACTTGAGCGCTGGCAAGAGGGTCGTAAGCGTAGAGTCGATCGGCATTGAATATGCAGAGATGTCAACGTAGCTGAGTTTTGGGGAGCGAAACAGCGCTGTAGAAACTTAGAAATACTACAAAATATCACTCAACACTCAGCAGTGGTTCCACCTCTTCGATCCGAAGAAACAAACCTTCAAAATGAACCAGCTCAAAGTGGTCGGATTTCTGACAAGGGAAGGATGGTAGGTCGAAGTGGCCATTTAAAATGAAACGTATACCGGCTGAAAGGTCTTCGGACGGAGACTACGAAACCGTTTTCTATATCTGCTGCGGACCTCACAGAAAGAAGTTACGGAGCTTTTTAGGGGGAGAAAATTCGCAACCAGTACGAATTGGCGGCGTAAGGCTGATGCGATCATGGCAGCATAGCCGAGTGGATACGTTGTAGGGCTCACGAATGGTCGAGGATTTGCATCCTTGATATGTGTGCTCTTTTGCATTTTTTCAAAAGTGGTCCCTATGTACTTCAAAGCTATTTTACATAACTCTTGTCGTGACGTAATTTTTCTGAACTGGTGGATCCATTGCGAACGATTCCATGGAGAATATTTTCTGGCTGCTGACTTCTTGTTTCTCTGATTTGAAAACCATGCACAACAAAAGTGCATTACAACGAATGATTTTGCCCTGAAAATGATTTATTCTCCGAATGACATGGCTGAAAAGCGAGTTCGAAGCCGCACGAAGTTATGCGCGAAGATGAGTATAGTGGGGAAAATGCGTGTCTCTTTCGCGTAGATGTGGCAATCATGCTGGAGATGGGCGTAACCTTCATTCATCACTCACATAGTGTTGAATGATGTCTAATCCAAAGTGGTTTCGCACCTGCTGGATGTTTTCGGCTCCAACCAGAAGTGATCTCCATGAAATCGCTCGCAATGGCTCTATCAGTTCAGAAACTTGCGTCACGACATTGTCAGGCACAAGAGTTATGCAAAATAGCTTTGAAGTGTACAGGGACAACACATTCCTGAGCATCAAGACGGATCCGCTCGGCCATGCTGTCACGATCGCCTCAGCCTTACGCCGCCAATTCGTACTTGAATGCGAATATTCCCATCCCCTTGAAAAGCTCCGTAACTTCTTTACTGGAGGTCCGCAGCAGATATGAAAACGGTTCCGTAAATCCTGAAGACCTTTCAGCCGGTATACATTTCATTTCAAATGGCCACTTCGACCTACCATCCTTCCCTTGTGAGCTTGACGACTGCTGTCTGAATCAAGTAATTGGTGCAGCCGGGAATAGGGAAAACTGTTCCTATGTTGGAAGAAAAACTTCGAAGTCATCTTCTATCGTGGCTGAGCGCTTGGAAAAAGGTTGAGTAGAAGATAAATTAGCTTGAGAAATGAATGATAAAATGACCAGTTTGACTGGCGCACAGTACTGCGCGCCCGACTTGAGAAAGCAGTGCAAAGAGGTTTCATTACAAAAAAAAACATCGGTGTTAATGCCCTCATCGACATCTTATCCTTTGTCGATTGATATGGCTCTCCGTTGCACATTATCAACATATGGACGTATCAACATTCCTTACCATATAATCAATTTGTGGATATCCTATTGATTTTGAATCCCACAGGTCTGATACGTGGTGGAAATAAGTCCCTCGACAGGTTCCAAGATTTTGGCGGTTGCTCGAGTAGTGGAGCTTACAGCTATTCTCATTTCTACACTTAATCTTCTTACTGTCTCTTCAATGATTACTTCCTGCCACACACTGTTTGCTTGAGAGTTCCTCCACTCCGCACAACATATAGAACTACACACATAACACTATAACATATAGAAAACATTCTGCACTATATAGAACTGCATTCGCACTGCCTGGAAGGCGCGCAGAATCCGGTGATACGAATTCCGATGCTCCGTATCAGCATTTTCACTTCTTATTTTCTCTCAGTTTTTACGATTCATATCCAGGTTTCACACCATGTATTATGCATGGAATTGTGCACTGCATTATTAACAGGAACATAGTATTTAGTATTGAGAGCTTTTATGACCTTTTTCTCTGAATCCCTCGTAATAGCTCTAAATCCATACCCTTACCTACTATCCATCGAAATTCTCCTTGTCCCTTCTTCCGTATCCCTTTCAGAACTAATGTTCACGTTTTACTGGAAACGACCGAACAACTGGATGACTTTTGCTCCTCTTATCAGCCCTTATCAGCTGTTATCAGTGCCTGCCACCCACCAATAATGTTCCCATCTTGCCCTCTATCTCAGTGCTTGGATCCAACGTCCAGTTGTTGCTCTGGCCGGTGTTATGAATTAGGTAATCCACCCCTTCTAAAGCTCCTCGTGGTATCTTATCAACTGTCATCACTCCTGCCACCCACCATTGATGTCCCATCTTGCCCCTATCTTACTCTTGGAACCAACGTCCCATCGTTGCTGTAACGCGCGTTATGAAGTTGATGCCCCTCCTTTCTAAGGCTTCTCATGTATATTATCAACTGTTATCTCTTCCTGCCATCCACCAATAATGTTCCTGCCTCACCCCCTACATTACTTATCAATTTGAGCGCTTTATCGCTGTTTTGAAGAAAGTTATGAAATTCCGGTCAAAGACACATACACATACACACACACACAGCAACAGACACACTTAGCGGAATATATATAGTAGGATGTTCGAGCTCTACCAGATTTCGTCGACGGTGTTTTGTGGAACAACAGTCAGTCCTTTCCTGACCGAATTGTGACTTGAGATGAGAACTGGATCTTCTGTAATACCCGGAGATGTTCCGCGCAGTAGTGGGTCAATGACAGTCCATTACACATTCGACGTCTAGGCCTTCCAGCCTCCGCTGCTTCAGCTAGTGCTGCTTCTCTCCCCTCCTGAAGCTCGTCCTTTGCCGCTACTCTGCGTAGCTTTGCAAGCTCACACGTTGAGGGCAAATTGTACACTTACTTACCTCTGAGGACGGCAAACTGTACACTTAATTACCTCTGAGGACGGTCCTTGCCACAAGTGAGACGAAGCGGGGGGGAAAGGGTCGGAAGATGACACGCAGGTATTAGTACTCTTCAGCCCGTCCCGGTCCTGAGCACTTTTGAGCTGGCAAAGTAGGCACGTTACCGCAGCTGCGGACCCATTCCCCCATTTCGCGACAGGAATCAGGGATCACGAAGATGAACGCACAGTTTCTATCCAGTTGATAGCTGCCTGCGATTCATGCTTCTCTCATTGGCTAATCAGCCAGAGAGTTTCTAGATACGAACTCTGCTAGTAGCAGTGAAACTCTCTGCTTTCTTGGTGTAGTGTGGAAATGAACCGCAAGTCATTCATCGGTATAGCGAGAGAGTCGAAGCAGTTTCAGTCGATGCCAGTTTTCTGACTTGCTCCTTCAATTTTGCGGCTTTTTCTTCTTGCGCCCCTGCCTGTTTTTCGCAGTTTCTTCACCCTAGTCCCAAGGAGCTTTCGTGGTTCTCGTCACTTTGCGTGGGCCAGCCAGTCGAAGCCTACGCCGTGTCGCAGTCACGTGGAGGTCGTTCATACCACATAGCCATAGAACTTCGCAATTTGCGACGTTGTCTGTGTGCCGTATTTTCATGATTCTTCATTTGAGACATAGTCTCATTATCTGCTCTTCATAGACTGACGTAGATATCGCTGGTGGAAGGCATTCATTTTCTTGCGTAGCTCGGCAGACTCTTTCCACGTTTCGCTTGCACGAGTGCCGTAGGATCACGACGGGAGAGTACAGTTTCATTTTTATGTTTTGCGAGATGAGTGGAATGCAATAACTATAACAGCAGAAGTCGTCTGAACACGACAGTTCCTTTTTCGATTCTGGACGAACATTCTTTTCAGCATCAGTGTCGTGCGTCATTTTTCCGAGATTGTCGACACTTTCTATCACCAATGTTCATTTTGTGTTAGAGAGGGCTGCTCTCATGCCCCATCTCTGTGCACTGTTTCACAAGCCTATCATGTCCGCCTGCCCATTGAGACTCGTGATGCTTTAATGAAGTCTGTCGTTGTCTTTGCATTTAATGAAATGTCGTCCGCGAAATCCAAATCTGTGAGACGACTTTGAACAGGCCAGTATGCCTGCTTCTGCGCGCTCCATCGCTGTCCTCATAACAAAGCTAGTCAGACATTGAACGAAATTGGAGATGAAATGCATCCCTGCCAATGCCAGTGACAATTTCAAAAGATGAAAACTGTAACAGGAGTTCAATAAAAAATAGGAAGCGCGTGAATGAAGGGAGTTACGCCCTCCCAAAGGGCGACGAATGCACGCAAACAGCAGTTTTTCGTCGCGCAAAAAATCCTCAACGACGTTTTTCTTAAGTATTGGGCTTTCATGCAAGGTTTTGCATGGTCAGAAAAGCAAATCTTTTTTCAAACCGGTGTTTGTTTCGCCTGGCTCTTGTATGACCGATACAAAAACTGCCCATTGGTGGAAGAAGCGAAGTTCCTGTCTTCCAATAAACACTGCATACGTGTTAGAGTGCTTGCGGTGTTCAGACTTCTACGATGAGAAATCAGACGTCCACTCTCTCTGAAAGGAGTGATGAACAGCTGAAGGCCCTTTAGAATCTATTAGGTTGTCCAAAAGTCGTGACATCTTCGGACTTTTTCCTCGAGTCAAGTTTATTTCATTCTTCCACTTCCACTCCAAATTTTATTCCATGAGGAGCATTTGAAGCAATTTCAACAATATACAGGGAGGGCCAAAAAAAGTCACTTTTCTTCATTGACTTTCGTGGCGCTATAAG